TCTGTCACTACCATCCAACTCTACGCAAACACCTAGAACAGAACACCTCCGACCAATCCCTCAATTGGCTTCCCGTGTGCAACGATCGAAAGAAGGTCTCTTACGCAAGGCCGCCTGTATCCCACCAAGATGTCCACAATCGCATCCCCCCGCGAACCGCCAGCCCTCACCCGCCGCGTCTCAGCACAACCACACACCCCGACATCCTCAACCAGACCCTCCCTCGACACCCCCCGCTCCCTCACAAGCTCCCCGAACCCAGGCTCCTCCGCGACCTTCGGCAACGGAACCGGACCCGGGGGCGCCGCGCCAGCGCCCTCCAAGCGCGCGAACCGAGCCGCCCTCCGCGAGTACTACAACCTCAAGAAGGCTGCCGCAGCCGGCGGGAACGGCACGCCCCCTTCGCTAGAAATCACAGAAGATCACGAGCGCCACGCGGAGTACTCCGAGGTCCCGCCCAGCGAGCTCGACAGCTCGTCATTTGACGCCGAGGCCTACGTGCGCAAGGCGCTGGCGGAGAACACGCTTGACGATTTGTTGAGGGTGTATACCCGCGTGCTGGGCGAGATCCGGGCGCTGGACGCGGAGAAGAAGGCGCTGGTGTATGATAATTACTCCAAGCTTATATCCGCGACGGAGACGATTCGCAAGGTAAGCAAGAGAACAGGATCTCATTTTGAATCTTTGGCTATTTCAAGAATCCCAGAGAGAGTCAAGTCCCCAAGCGAAATACAGACAAGAAAAGATCAGAAAGAACGATAAAAGCTAAAAGGAACCCTTGGGGGCATTTGAACATAGATGCGCGCAAATATGGACCCCCTGAACCCCATGGCCTCGACCCTCGACCCTGCGATCGCGGGTATCTACGCCCAGGCGAGCTCGATCCGCGAAGCGCTGCGTAAGACGGTTGTGTCGCCGGCGTCAAAGGAGCGCGAGGATGAGGCGGCGGTAGCGACGCGGCGGAGGACGCGGGAGCTCGCGAGGGAGGTGTTGGGAACGCCTGAGAAGCTGCGAAGGCTGGTGAAGGAGGGCAAGGTTGAGGAGGCGAGGAGTGCGTGGGAGATGCCGAGGCGGCTGCTGGAGGTCTGGAAGGAGAAGGGCGTCGGCGGGAAGGATGTTGCTGAGTGTCTTGAAGAGGGGGATGCGGCGTTGAGGGTTGGTGGTTCTGGGGAGAGCAGCGTGCGGGCTTCAAGGGATAGCGTGAGATTGTGAGGTGTCTTGTTCTTGGTGTCGTGTTTGGGGTTTGCGAGCATAGCGATGGAGTTATTTGGTGTTGGGGCTTGGCGCAACTTTTATGGTTTGAGCAAAAGAGATAGATTCGCCAAATAGATTTGGACAAAAATCACAGAGTTCACAGATTTACTTCATCACTTCAGTCCACGTAACAGCATCTTCACGGATCAAGTCGGACCTTACGTGCACAAATAAGGCATATCTGTCCTCGGCGGTATGGCTTAGCCATCGCAGCGATGTCGACACGGGACTCGAATCGTTCGAAAGGAAGGTAACGTCGTCAGCTATCTAGAGATGGCTGCTTCGAGCTTGTCTTTGACCCCCAAGTGTGAGCTCGATTCTCTCCTAAACATTTGAAGACATCGCTTTTCCTCTTGAACGTTCGATTCACAAATCGACTTACAGTTCGGAAACGTCCACAATGTCAAAAGGATCCCGGTCAGCCGTGCTGACGAGGACCTGCACATCATGCTCCTGCTGCTTCAGCTCCCCTTCCAACAGGGGCTTCATCACCTCGGTAAGGTACCCCCTCTCCGAATTGCTGTGGAACACAGCAACAACCGTCTTGCCCTCCTGCACGGCCTTAAGCGCATTGTGATGGCTCATCTCGCCCGTGACAACCACGTCCGCAGCCGCACTCTTCACAACGTCCCACCCGCTGCCCGCGCACACGGCCACGGCGCCCACGCGCGCCATCGAGATGGTCGACGGGTCCGGCGAGGCGACCATGACGCGGCGCATGCCTACGCGGGAGGCTACGCGCCGGATAATGTCAGCGAGGGACTCGGGCTGGCGGAAGGTGCAGAGAAGGCCGTAGCCTGAGCCCTCGAAGCCGGCGGGGGGCGAGGCGTGAGGAGTGATGACGGTGCGGTCGGAGGGGGCCGCGGTCGAGGAGGAGGCGGGCCCGCCGGAGACGATGTCGCCGAGCCAGGTGTTGAGACCGTTGGGGGCGGCGTCGACTGCGGTGTGGGGGCAGTAGACTGCGATGCCGTTGGAGGCGAGGAGCAGGAGAGTTGCTTGCTGGGGGTCCTTTGTTGTGATAGACTTAAGGCCCGAGAAGATGAAGGGGTCTAGGGGGGTTGTCAGATGATGGAGGGGAATAATGGATTATAAGTCAGTTCGGGGGCGAAGCTTACGATAGCTCACGATGACGCTCGCTTTTTTCTGAACTGCCTCTTCGGCGACGGCGTAGGTGAGGTCGTTAGTGAGGAGGACGACTGGGCTTTTGGGCGTGGCGGTTGTGGTGGTCACGATGTTATCCAGAAGAAGACCGACATTGTCCCATCTCCTGTCGGCAATCTCTTCAGGGTAGCTGTGCGAGACGATTTAGTTCTAATTGGTCTGTGTTTGGCTGAGAGGTGGTGGTGAGACTTACTGCTTGCGCATGGCAGCCACTACTTGGGCGGTGAAGCCGGCAGAGGAGTACTTGTTGCTAGCCGCCATTTTGATATTTGCTGTGGCAAGATGAGTCTGATGAAGGGAAGATGCTGTCGAGAAATGAGAAGCAGAGTTGTGGACTTTCGTGGAGATGTTCAAGGACTGAAGCCGAAGTGAAGCTGTAGACCCACAAGACCGTCGACTTATATGCGCTGATGCCCTAGCAAGCTTGAAGCTCATTGATTGGATGGGCGTCCTGAAACCAGTGAGCATAGCTTCTCTTGTAGAGTTCAGATATATAAGGATCAAACAGACTCTTGCTTCTTTCGAAATCGATTGACATACAACACGCTCAAGTTCCTGAATTCTCTAAGCCTTGAATTTGGGTGTCGTGGTATGAGGTAATGTTGTAGAGGGGTTGCAGAGCTCGAGCTTCATTCACATATCCATTAAATGCATACGAAGATGTCTTCTGTCATTGGTGTTTTGACTGAATGACATAAGCCCCGCAATGACACATACCCCCACTTCTCTCCAAGTCGTGCCTTCCCAGTTGCTTCAGTGCTGACCTGCGTGTCGTCAACTAAACCTCTCTTGCTTGACTCTTCTTTCGTCAACATTGAGACAGACCTGTTTTCTATCATCAACTCAGCCAAGTCTCGTCCTCAAGCTTCTCTGTCATGCTGAGAATCCACGTCTACCATGGGCGCGCATGCAGTGGTCGACTGCCTCGCTGGGTACGCGCATGGTGAAGGAGCGAGTAAGTACCCAAAAGCGGAGACCGCCATTCCACTCACGGTACTTGGTGCAAAGTCTTCGCCGGTCTATCAACAACCACCAATCCGATATGGTGTAGTGGCCAACATGATGCCCTCTCATCCCCAGTGAGAGGTTAGGCATAGCCCCGAGTTCGATTCTCGGTTTCGGAATTAACTAATTGTTTTGTCATTTTTGCATGTTTATGATGCAGTTGGGTGATATATTGTTGATATATTGATGATATATGTCCCTTCTCTCTCTAAAGTATGGGACTCAGTGTCTATGACATGAAAAGAACTTCGAGATTGGTACTAACTCCTAAATCTAAATCGAAAACTGTTGAGGTAAAAAAGGTACTCAAATTTATAGTTGTAGAGCATGAAACCTATCTATCTATGGTTCTTGCTGAGGGTTCTTTCTCCTGAATGACTTTTACAGTAGTTTGTGAAAGAGAGGGCTTCAACTACATAAAAGAACTTTCAGATATGATATCTTCTCATATGTTCTGAGCTAGAGCAGAGCCCGACCCAAACTCGCCTTTAAATACTTCCTTACTCATCAAATCTAAGCGTCAGGAGTGCACGCTTGCGTAGGTCTGTCGGATCGTGTACATCGTGATAGAGGCGATGATAGTCGCTAATTCCAATGGCTATATCTATTGGAATGAACCGGTTTGAACTTGTGCACAGGGCAATTCGGCGTAATCCTGGGGCGCATGGACTGGCCACCCGTTCTTGTTTATCTATAACGCCTCTGGCAATGTTCGATCACGAATCCGAGCAGCATGCAGCGGGTTGATTGGTTCCAGGCTTTTAGTCCTACAATGGTGGTCTCTACTGATAAATCTAGTATTCTTTGCTGTATCCCATCATGGTGTGAGGTTGAAGTACAAGGGACATCCAGTACTGGCGAGAAGACTGCATCACCTCATCGGTTGCAATCTATCTCATATCACAATGTAACGCGAGAAAGAAGAGGCACTGGCGAGCACCAGATTGGCAGAATCACGAACTGGAGATAAACAGATTCGGATCTACGACTCTCTGAATTGCATACAATGACCCGTGGACGTGAGCATGGGGACCTGCTCATGGTGCGTGATTCAAAGCTCAAAGCAGCGGTTAATGCGTTGAAGTACTTTATATCAGTAGAGGTCTTTCTTTGCCCGTGGTGAGACCACCTCCATCTCGTTGATAGGAATGCTTAAGACCGTAGTGGACGTTAGATGACGCTTTGCTTCACACGGAAAGGATGCAAAGGAAATTATGAGATCAAACAAGATAAACAGGGCAACCCAAGTTCAATGCGCTCGGATCAAAGGGTCATGGCAGTACAGCAATCCGTAAGGAAGTGCAGCATCTCCAACAAAGCCTCCAAGACGAATGGAAGCCACCAAACTTACCTTAGACCCCCAATGACGGAACCACTCCGCCTGACACTTTCAAAAAAGAACCCCACCATCTAATCAATCTAATCGCCGACCCAAGCCACGCCGCCCACCACAGGAAACCCACCGCAGAACCAAGCACCTCCGATTTTCGACAATCTCCCAACCCAAAGCTGCCACCCCCCGGAACCCGATCGTCGCTCTTCCCCGAAAACCACTAGATACCCTCACAATCACATACAAGATGGCAAACCAAATAACAGAGGCCTCGCTAAAGCAGGCTCTCACCGAGCGTCTGCAGGCAATTCACGTCGAGATCTCGGATATGTCAGGTACGTCTTCGCTCGTCGCCAGCATGCACTCCTTCAACCGAAAACCCCCCCACGTCATGCCCCGCCATGTTAGAAATCAATGTACTCGCCCGCGCATCGTCTGTCGCGCCCAGCACACCTCACCTACCCATGCGAAACCACCATTATGCGACATTCTGGGCTTCCTCCTAACTAAAACATTCTATCAAACAGGCGGCTGCGGACAAGCCTTCACCTCGACAATCGTCTCCCCCGCCTTCGAGAAACAAACCTCCCTGAAGCGCCACCGCCTCGTTAACGCCGCCCTCAAGGACGAGATCGCCCAGATCCACGCCTGGAGCGCAAAGTGCCAGACGCCCGCCGAGTGGGAGCGCGATAGAGCCGCCGCCGGCGGAGGCAGCGACGGCCCGCCGATGGACGGGACTGTCGGCGGCAGGGTGGAGGGTGTTGCGCAGTGAAGAAAAAGGGAAAATGGGACAAGACACATCGCACCGGAATTGGAGCTGGACTGGACTGGCCGCCCCGGTTGGAGAGAGGGGAGCATTATGCATCATCAGTTGTCACTTCGCGCCGAACACGGAGATGACTGGGCCGCTTGGGGCGACATGGACATATACACAGGGCGATACGTCCCTATACAAGGCGGGAAAAGAGACGCCACGCATGAGATCCAAAAAGAAGAACATGGAGGCATCTTGGGAGGATGGCGCGATAGGTGTTTGGTCTAGACACCCCCCTTTTCGAGTATATACATGAGTTTTTCGCGGAAAGCAGAAAAGCAGAAGCAGGCTTTTCGTGGCTTCGTTCTTTGTCATTTATCAACCTACTCCTAACAGCATGCCTGGACTCCCCAATGAACCAGCTCCATTAGCAAGAGATCTAGAACAACCCAAGCAAGTCCTCATTCGTCTTCTTCCCGTTTCCTTCGCCACCTTGAGGTTGTGCAGGCTGGTGTAATTGCATGCCCGCCGGCAAGGGCTGCCCGGACCCTGTGTTGCCAAAGTCGAGCCCGGCGAAGCCATTCATCATGTCATTCATGCCGCCACCACCTGCTCCAGGGCTCATCGGGTTGGCCGCCTGCTGTTGCTGCGACGGAGGAGCATCAAACAAACCCATCATGTCAGCCATGGCACTCGAGTTACCACCTCCCGCAGGGCTGGCCACTCTGTCTGGGGTGTTGATGTTGCTCTGCTGCTCGGCTGATGCAGGGGCAGCACCGTCAAAGTCGATATCGAGAAGGTTTTCGATGTTGTTTTGTGAGTTGGCGTTGCCGTTGGCCACAGCTGCCACTGACGCAGCAATGGGGTTTTCGGCCGCCTCTTGCCGTTGTTCGCGGATGGCCGCGCGCTGAATCTCGTCTGCTCCATAGCGACCCTTGCCGACAAATGATTCTGGTGGCTTGTGGTACACCGACGCCAGAGTAGAAAGCTCTGCGAGAAGTTGCTCGAGGAGAGCAGGGGGAAGGCTGGTCATTGTTGTGGTAATGGCGGGTTTCTGAGACAGGACAATATTCTTGGCGACATCCAAATCGCCTGACAATAGACGCCAGTAGACGTAGGCTCTGTCTCTGATATCTGGGTTGTCGTTGTCTGTCGTAGCCTGCTGAAGCACCTTTTGGACCAGTCCCTGGTTGCTGCCGGGCTTCTTGAGGAAGAGTTTGACCACAGCAGTCAGGATCTGGAGTTGAGTCTGCTGAAAGTTAGCGATGTCCTTGAATATCTGGAATGAATCGACAAACCTGTGTGAACTCCTCCATGAAACCCTCCACGAAACTTTCCAGAATGTCGTCGGCGTTGTTGATCTTCTCAGCGTACTCTCCCACAATCCAAATCAGCGATCCTCTTGCCGTTGGCTCGTCCAGCTCGTCGATATACTTGCAGAGCGTAGGGATGACGCCCTCGTAACCAGGGTATTTGCGGAGAATATCCTTGATAACCACCACAACCTCCTGCACAACGTAGTTGACCTTGGTGGCAATCAAGTCCAACAATGCGTTGACGCACTTTTGACTGGCACTCTCGAGCTTGATCGCAACCTGGCCAATGGCCTTGACGGCGCGCTTGACAAAGTCCATATCGACCTCCAAAGCGTACTCTTTCAATTCTGCGAGGAGTTGGTCAAAGTTCTTCTCGTTGGCTATCCGAACCATGATCTCGAGCTTCTGAAGTTTGACGTAGGGGGGATCGTTATATTTGCAGAAGAAGACTCGCAGCTCTTTGCTAAGAATATCGGGCTTGGCCTGCAGGAGGAGGTCAATATTGCGCAGAGCAACGTACTGCACCTCAGGAGCAGACGCCACAAGCGTGACAAGAGGCGGCGCCATCTTCTTTAGGTATGATCGCACAAGCTCCGGGCTAACTGCCTTCATGTGGATAAAGACCACCTTCACGGCGGCCAAGACCACACTGGGGTTGACGTGTTGGAACTGTGGCGCAACTCTTTCACAAATGTGCTCAGACTCCTTGGTATCCGCAGCAGGATAGTCGGCCAGTGTGGTCAGGATAGTGACGCGACCCCATTCCGTGCACTCGTTGAGAGCCATCAACAGCTTCTTCAGTGTGGCCGGTGTCACTACAAGTGCTCGAGTCTCTGGGGCGGTTTCGGTGATTTCTGAAAGCGCCTGGACCGAGTTTGCGACAACCATAGGATTCGGGTCCCCAATCAACTCCTGCAGTGACTCCAAAAAGCCGTTCTCTATGCACATTGATGGGTTGAGATCGAAGAGTTTGGCGACACAAATCGCGGCCGTCTTTCGAACGTATGGCGACTCGTCTCGTAGTGTCTTCCGCAGTGGCTCTTCCATGTAATCCACCATCTTGTCGACTCTAATACAGCCCATCGTTCGGATCGCTAGCGCACGGATGAGGGGATTTGGGTCTTCGGAATCTTGTACGAAAGTATTAACGGCAAGAATACAGAGATCTGGATGCGATTTCGCGTAGTTCCTGTTGTATGCTGTCAGTAGTCGCTTTAGATGCCTCGCCTAGGCAGCAGATCTGTTTCGACTGCGGACTAACATCAAGTATAAGTAAACCAGCTTCTTCTGGTCCAGGTCGCCTGTCGCAATGTTCTTCAGGACATCGGGGAACAAAGCAGACACGTCCTTGCCCAACGTCATCGCCATAATCGTCTTCTGGATGGATTCCTTGCGCTCGTAGGCATATTGAGAGACAAGGCCTGCCCGCAGCTCAAAGGTCTCTCCCTTCCTCGGGACAGCAAAGGCCCCACGAATCCGATTGACCGCCATGGTGTCGGGAGGTGCTCGAGGTAGGGGGTATGGTGATTTAAGGTGTGTTGTCGGAGGGGGCTAGAGGCGATCTAGCAGATGAGAGAGATAGCCAGTCCGATCAGGACCTGGACAAGCTCATCCAAAGGTAAAGTCTCGGTATTCAACAGCAGTCCGCTTGCTTTTGCTCGTCGTAGGTGTCCGGGGGATGCAGTGAATGCACCTCGTCGGTAGTCGCCAAGAGGATGAGGTGGTCGAAGAAGTACCTGGCAGTGGAATGCACCCCTAACCTTAATCCCAGCCTGGCCAGCCTGGCAGCAGTGCTGGGCGCTGCACTGCTCCGATTCGCTAAATGAATGTCGCTTCATCCTCCTTGGCGACTCCACAGCGATGCACATGCAACTATCGGGCCTGTCGTTTTATCGGAAACTCTTTTATAGAGGTACAAGGTACTAAGCTCTTAAGGCAAGTAAACATTGATGAACTCATTGCAACATCGCCATTTCCATCTGCTGCCCTTGACCTCACTTTTTGTTATACTTCTCCGGCTCCTCCACGGCATTACGGAGCTTTTATCCCTATCAGCAAACAAAATTTGCTAAGAAATTCGGCTCAGGCCCGCGATCTGAAACACTGCCAATAATACCAATCACTAAATAAATCACCATGGTAAGCCATTTCCGTTCATCTAGTGAATGAAGGCATCTCACAAGTCTCTTTAAGGCCACATTGCCCAACCTGCGTCGTTTGTTCATCGAGGCAAGAACGGATGATGAAGAGCGGGAAGTGTCTAGGAAAGCAGTGAGTCGGTGTCAAACAGCTCCATGGTGTCCCTAAATTTACCAGTCATGCAGTTTTATAACGCAGTCCTCTTCATGAGCTCTGTGACTATCTTCAGCTTGATTGCTCAGAGGATGAATGCCGTGAAATGAATCAACACAGTCAACCAATAGTGTTCGTTAAATTGAACCACAGATGCCGAGCTTTTCGACAAATGCCCGCCGCGTTGGGTATCCAGAGGTTCGCAAAGCCTGCTTCAGGGCTCTGCGGTCCAAGATGATGCGCCCCGCAACAACGCCAGCCGCAGCAGAGTCATGGGCAGGCGAAGAAATTAGTCGTGCGAGACACATCCCGCAGCATGACAGGGAATTCGCGCTTGCAAGGACGAAGTTGAACATATGCGGGCGACCTCTTCCACCGGCAACTGGGAGAGTGGTGCTCGTTGAGGACAGGGTCAGGCCCTGATACCGCCGATTCACGACTGACTGAGACTCATAGCCGTTGCTGCAGCGAGTATACGAGCATGATATCAGATTGATGAGTCACCTGAAGGCACAAAGAAGATGTGGAAGATGTGCAAGTGCTACTATAGTCGTAGGCAATGCGATGCGAAAAAGCACCGCGCCAGGCTCCTTGACACAGGCCACTGATATCAATGAACATTGTTTGATCCTCTGCTTTGCAGGCGACGGCTGCTGATAGTACACCTGGCCAATGCGGAGACCTCCGTCTCCACGTCCGTCTCAAATCGTAACTACCGTACACCATCATAAGTTGTTCTCTTTGAGTGCCTCCCTAACAGACGTGAATATTCCTCTTGAGTTATTCCAAATCCTCACCAACGGCCCATCAATCCCATATAAGGGATCATTGGGCGGTACGGGAACAGCAGAAACCTCTTCTATCAGCCCGCTCTTCTCCTCCAACTTCTTCTTGCCGATTTCGTATTTATAATGAGGTGAACCTTTGGGATACACTCCAACATATCGATACTCAGGCTCTCCCTCAACAGGGTCCGCTGCTCCCTCCGCCTTTGAGACAGAGGCATGCCCTACGCCTGCTGGGACGACGACGACATCGCCGGCTCGCACTATACATCGTACTCCGCTGCCGACGTCATCCGAAACCCCTTCGCCAAAGACTAGCTCGGAACTGCCTTGAAAGACGCCTGCTTCATGGGTTAATGGAGTTGAATGATTCAAGGGGATCGATGGACCTGCCGTAACACTCGTGAGTGTTTGGGTGAAAGTGCTTCAGACTGATAGTCCCCCAAGTTCCCTATAGTTAAAAGTCTCTTTAATAACGACGTCAAATGAGTATACGGAGACTTAGTAAGCCAGAATTCTTACCTTCTTCTCCCAGCCGTGACGTTGAAGTCTTTCTGATGCGCTCTCCTCGTTAAGTGGCTGGAGAACATCACGATATATGAGGACTGGAAGATCATTATTCGGACAATGAGCAGTCCTCTTCAACGGGTACGCCTCGGGCTGCGCGACCTTCTCATATGAAGACATTATTTCACCGGCCCATGCGGGATGGACTCGAGAAGACCCGTTTATGATTCGATGTGTTAAGGAGTTCTCACGCCCGAGTATGGCCACGAGCTATTGGGTATTTTGAAAAATAATGTTTGTGGTGTGTTTGTTCATATTAACTTCCTGTCGCTGTCAACAACACCTACTCCTCTAACCCCGGATTCTCTGGTCATTTGACAGTGCCAAGCAGCCAGAAAGGCAAAGAGGCAAGCTGCTGGAGTTATCTCCGAACGTCACCAGGAGAAGACATCGGCTCCGAGGACCCCTCCATATCGTCCATTCCTGCCGATCCCGTGGCCACTGAAGCACAATGATGTCCTTAACTCTGTCATAACATCAACGCAAGCTTACAGATCAACACCTCGACTGATTATCCAGTATTACTCTTCAAATTCGTCCAAAACATCGCCCTGCCCTTCCTTCGTCGGCGCCTTCGCCTCCTGCTTCCTCCACAAACCAGCAAGAAACTCATTCGTACTCGCCTCGTCCATGCTCTTATCCTCGCGCTTCTTCAAAAATCGAGGGAATCGCAGGCTCAACCCTCGCTCGTCGCTGACGAGCCCAATGGCGGCCGTGTACGTCGGACTCAGAGTGATGTCCGCAAACGCCATCTCCCACACCTCCTGAGGCTCGAACCACACGTCAGGCTCGGGACCAGAGTACTCGACAAACGCGGGCTTCTGGGTGCGCGTGTTCTGCCTCTCGCTTAGCTCGCCGTCGTCGTAGTGCGCCCTGTTCGCCTTATAGAAGGCGTCTGTAAAGCCCGACATGCACTTGCACACGACCTCGAGGGCGCCGCTGTCCTCGTTGCGGACGGCCATGAGGATTGGCGACCACCATTTGGACTTCCGGCCTTGTCCGTGCCAGGCGGCTACCGGAATCATGTCCAACGTCTCAAAGCTTGAGTTGTAGTCCTTCTTGACCTTTAGCCACGAGTCTAGTCGCTTATCGGGCTCGTATGTGGCCAAGAGAGGCTTGCGTCTGCCCTTTTTCTTCGGAGCGCCCTCCTCGTCCTTGGTGCCTTTGCTTCGTGATTTTGACTTTGAAGGCGTTCTGGGTTCCTCGGCAACCTCGCCATCAGCCTCTACTGCGCCGTCACCTTGATAGGGGACATCTATCAAGTTGTCCAAGATTTTGACCATAATGCCTTCACACTTGATATCGGTTGCCGCTTTAAAAAACTCCAATACGGCATCCGAGTCTTGCGATGTAGCATCCAGGCTCTTCACCCAGGTGAATTGGCGGGGAACTTCGATAAACATCGATCGCAGGAGCTCCCTTCTTTCTCGAAAGGGCCGGTTCAGTAGGGGTTGTCCGTTGAGAAACATGAGGTCAAATGCGAACATGCAAACGTTGACTTGCACGCTGCCGATAGCGACATCCTTCCGCGCGCGATTGCTCAGCGTCTGGAAGTTCTTCAAATCTCCCGTCTCGCTGTCCACGGCCACCACTTCGCCTTCCATAATAAAGCTGTTGACGCCTTCGCCGCGAACCTTGGGCATCAATGCGACTAAGTCGGGGTACTTGTCCGTCATCAGCTCGAGGTGTCTTGAGAAGATGGAAATTTTGCCGCTTTCATCGCAGTGAATCTGAGCTCTTTGGCCGTCATACTTGAACTCGCAAGCAAAGTCTCTGCCCTGGAGTTTCGTGAGCATCTCGGAAAGGTCTCTTGTGATGCTTCCCAACATGGGCCGGAGTGGTATATGCAGCGTTAAATCACAACGAAGTAACAGCTCGTCGCAGACGCCAATTTCCAATAAGACGGGTACAAGATCGTTGTAGTTGGGGCGCCGCGCGAAGCAGGCCTTCAGTATTTCCTCTGGCCTGCTCCATACTTCAGCGAGCTCTTCCTTCTTGAGTTTTTGGAGGTCCTTGACTGATCGTAGTGGGAACTCAGCTCCCGGAGGTCTGGAAAGGAGGAAGGCTCTTGAAAGAGCAATCAACATGGTGGTTTTGACAGCACCAATACGTAGCTACCGACGTTAGACATTTGATAAAAAGGCTGTTATAAAATCAAAACCTACATGTTGACACAATGTTCGTACAATGAACCTGCTCTCTTCACCACCGCGGGCATCTTGTAGAAGTCGATCGACAATTCTCTGCTTTGCTTCGCCGCTTCCGTTACCTTGGCTATTGGCAATTTTGACTAGTGATTGGTAGACAGCCTTGATGGTCAAGGGCTTCGGTTTCCGCAGAGTAAAGCTTTGCTTCTTCTTGGCCTCGAATGCAACGTCCCCGGCATCACCGTGCTTGTCGTAAAGTGTCTTTAGGGAGCGACCGTCTAATCCACATACCTGCTTTAGTGCCTTGGAAATCGCTGACCCTCCCAAACCGAGCTCTAAGGAGATGTAAGGGGGCGAGATGGAATTTGTTGCAAGCCAGACCGCGGGCAGTAGGCTCTCCGGGTCAGCTTCAATCAGTACTCTGATACAATTGACTAGAGTATCCACAATCTTAATCCGACTTTGTGTAGCGGATACCAAGATGAAGCATCGGGTGAGGAATGCGTATGAAGCGTGCCCTCCCTCAGCTGCCCATGATCCCTTCAGCTGAGGGACATATTCTGAAGGATCAAATATCAGTGGGCTTTGGTCCAGAGGAATGGTTGCTGAAACCGTGTCTTCAGCATTTGCCACGGAAGATAGTGACAGCGTCTTCGTGTTTGGCGTAACAATTGGCAGAACCGAGGATGTCGGCGACCCTTTCAGTCCAGACTTTGCCTCGATAGGTTCCTCTCCATTAGTCTCATTCAACCGTAAACTTGGGTCCTTTGCTGGCTCAGGACATGGCGTAGATTCTGCTCTTTCATTCTGCACCTCGGCATCCCATTCCGCTTGCAGCTTCCTGGCAAGCTCCTCATCCGTCAACTCCGGCTGCTGGTCGGCGGATCCCGTGCCATTCGATATGGCTTCAGGAGCAAGTTCCGTTGTGGGTTTCAGTGACGACGTGCCGTTCTGCTTCTGCTTAGAGAAGAAGTATTCCAAACCTCTCGAAGGTACTCCGGTTGACGACTGATCGTTCAGTTTCCTCTTCTTACTTGGGCTGGGCATGGTGATGATGATGTTCAATGCAGGGACTTAGTGCGTGGAAAGCTTCGGATGATGATTCTAGTGGGAACGGATGCAAATGAAACTTCGTGCTATCATCACGAACTGCCCAGTGGAATTTTACTTCTGTCTCTTTCCATCTGCTCAATGTTGTTAGTTCATCACTGAGCTGTCCGCTGAGGTACCTTAGCTCAACCCTGTAACAGTCTCAGTCAATGACGCCGCTGCCTGCGAACCGAACAAGAGGGTACGTGCACCTTCCCAGCCACCCCTGTAGCTTGCTCCCTTAGTCAGCAGAACCCTTGGATTCATCGTCTTAGGTAAGGTGTCCTGGTCTACCTGCGGAGGAGAAACGGCCACACCTTTCCCCTTGCTCCGGCGCTAAACCTCATTTGACGACCCAAGCGACTTCCACACAACAACACACTCGAACTTTTGGAAATCTTTCGCCAGGGCGGCCCAAGCCCCACCAGCGGCACCGATTTCTTCCTTCCCCTCCACGATACCTCTCCTAAGCCGCCGAACCTCGAAAACCACCCTCTCACACCCCCCCACGCCGCACATAAAACCAGCAATCATGTTGAACGGCGAAGATCCGCCCGAGCGGCCCGACTACATTGTCAACATCATCAATGGCCTCGAGCGGTACAATCCTGAGGCTGTCGTCAACCTCGAGTCCTACCTGCAGGAGCAGTGCGAGCAGAAGTACTGCGACTGCAATGCGAACCGGACACTCCTGAAGCTGTGAGTCGCAATCTCCAATATGCCTACTCGACCACCACCACGCGTCTTTTTTGTACACGTCGGTGGCATCAGACCCCTTTGCTTGGTCTTGCGCCGGTTTATATGATGATCGTGTAAACGTTTCCTATTACCTGACATGCACTGGTTGTTCCGTCATGAACCCCTCAGTCGCAACTGAAGTCAGCACATGGTGTTAACTGAACGATACCGGAACTCAATATTGAGACACAATTTGGATACGAGCCTACATCATCATGCAACTCGACAGCTGACCACTTTGTCTTCTCTCTCCTTCCAGGTACCAGCTCAACCCCGACCGTCTCAAGGATGAGGTCGTCACCAACATCCTCGTCAAGGCCATGACCCAGTTCCCCTCGCCGCAGTTCACCCTCGCCCTGCACCTCATCAACCCCTCCACCATCGCCCAGGGCGAGCTCCATGAGGCCGTCGCCAAGCTGCGCACCCTCAACAGCCAGCTCGAGGGCTCCCAGTACGCCCGCTTCTGGAACACCATTGACGGCGACGACCTCTGCGCCGACCTCATTGCCGACATCTCAGGCTTCGAGGACCTCATCCGCAGCAACATTGCCAACTCGATCGCCCAGGCCTTCCGCGAGGTCAGCCTGTCCCAGCTCGAGTCGTGGCTCGGCCTCGACGGCGACGCCACCGCAAAGTTCGTCACCGAGGTTGCCGGCTGGACCGTTGGCGACAATGGCGTCGTTACCATCCCCAAGAACGCCGAGAACGAGGCCAAGAAGTCTGAGATCAGGGAGGACGTCAACGTCGACATGTTCTCGAGGATTCTTCGCAGATCATGGGAGGAGACTGCGTAAAAGAAGTACTTCTTTGAAAAATAAGAAGAGAAATCGCAGACTTGGGTTTCGGTGTGAGGATGAACAGAAGAAGGGGACGCAAGGGTTGATATCACAACCCTTGGCTGCTAATAGCTCCGTACATGGAGTTAGGGCTGGAAGAGAGCATGGCGGCAAAAATTACCGGCGTTCACTTTTGACTTTGGAATCGGGGGCCATAGAGTATATCCCTGAATATGAGACATGCCACAATGTTTGAAATGTCGTGTAAAACGCTTCTTTTTTCTTCTTCTCATTATATTGATGTGCTGCAAAATCTTTGTCCCTGCCTGCCCCCTTTTTTATCATCGTCGTGTAGCACATAATTTTCTCA